ATTGTAAAATCAATACATTCATCGTTCCACTCAGAAACTAAAATATTGTAAATATCAGTTTTCTATACAGTCATAATATCTTGCATAACTTCCTTAGACCTATGACCTTACTCGAACCAAATAAACTCAACAATTCAAAATTTAAAAAAAAAAACAGGTTGGCAAGTGGGTTGTACAATTTTAGTTATTATATGCAAATTAAAAATATTTTTCGTGGGTACTTGAAACTTTTAAGTACCTACTGATATAAATAGGATTATATTTTATACACACAATGACAATTTAACAATTAATTAAGTATACCCTGTATAGAGAGTAGGTACTCAGCACTTGTATTTGGTATTATTTGGTTTTTAATTAGGTATGTTATGTGTACCTATTAATAACTAGTTATAAGTCATAGTAGGTACCTATAGTAAATAATCACCCGACATCTTGCATGGATCACCCACCCAGGTACCCAACCACCCACCAGATGTTGTATGTATTGCTTAAGTTTGAATTTAATGATACATTGTTGCCATAGTTGGAAATTTGATGAAATTACTGGGGGGGCTGAGCATTATATTTCTCATTGTACCTATATAGGCACTATTGTACTAGAGTCGCTCGCAATTATTTATTTCAACAAGACAATTTACAACGTTTGACATACTAAACAATTTAACCTTAATAAAGTACAAAAGCAATAATGTGCCATAGGTACCTTGAACATTTTATTCGAAACAAAAATAGCATTACATTTATTTTATTATTAAGTTATTAAATTAATTTAATTATAACCAATTTAATATAAGATGTTAAAACAAAGAAGCCAAGTATATAACATAATAAGTGTACTTATATATTTATTTCAGCACAATATATCGGTTTTTATTAGAAAAAGCATTAACTATATCAGTATCTGATTTTGTAATTCAGATATTAAAAATGCATTTTTTAATTATACTAATTTATTATATATTTTTATATATTTAGTCACATTAAAATTGTGAGGGCTAGGGGGGGCTAAGACCTGTACTTTAAAATTCTGATGGGGCTTAGTCCCCTCTAGCCCCCCCCCCGATTTCCGCCTATGATTGTTGCATACAAAATACCTACGATTTTGAGCGGAGACGTATTAAATTATCCTAAATACAATATAATCCTTGTAGGCAGGGCCGGCGAGAGGGTGGGGCAGTAGGGGCCAGAGCCCTGGGGCCCGGACCTCCGGGGGGGGGGGGCTCGATGTCAGAGGCGTATTTTGGCATAGCCGCACAGGCCCTGTAGACCCGGGCCATTATCGTCCGTTTGCTAAAAATTAAACAACCATCTATAATATATTAATATATACCTACTATATTGTACACAATAAGCAACACAGAACGCACATAGATAACAAAACAAACTCGCATTCAACGCGGGTTCGATCGGTATAATCGCGTAGTTGGTTTTTATATAGTGTGTGCTATTAATAATATGGTTAATATAATATATATAAATATATAATCAGTGCCGGATCAACCGTCGGTGCAAGCGGTGCATTGCACTGGGGCCTCGACTCTTTGAAATATTTGGGGTCCCCGATATTATGGATATCGAGTACTATAAAATAAAATTGGTACTTGGTAAAATGTATATTTTGCTTTTTCAAATGGTGTATTTAATTAATTTTACTTTGAAAGTATATTTAATTTATTCCCATCAGTGGTGAATTATAATTGTGAATATTTGATTGATTAATTTGTATATTTTATTTTTCATACACATTATCGTGTTCGCCGATACACAATAACGTAAACATCTACGCCGTGTTGCATTACGCGAAGTGAGACTGAATCCAAAAATAGATGTATTGAACATTTTCTAATATATAGTATATTTTATAACATTTTTAAATTAGGACTACCAACATTTTTTTTTGCACCCGGGCCCCAAGAGTTCAAGATCCGTCACTGTATATAATATAGTCGTAAATTCCTTAATGCGACCAATAACGACCGACTGTATCAGATAATAATATGTTCGATCATATTTCCACGAAGGTATTAGTTGTAATGATGCGTTTTCGTAAAATATATCGCGTTCCGAAATTATCGTTTTTGCTTTCTCTTATAATTTTGATATTACGGAATACGAATCGTGTGTAATTTTGTGTTTTGCTAGTACATATATTTGAGTCCCTACCTAGTTATATAATTTTATTATAATGAGTTATAAACACAAATCTGGTGCGCAAAAAATAAAATAAAAGGATTACAGAGACAATGAAGCAAAAAAAGGACAGCTATCACTCGGCAATATATTAAACCTTCCACAGCTTCGACTGAGTTACCTATACGTCTATTGGCCAGAACAGGGTCGGACTGGCCAATATAACCGACTAGCCATAGCCAGTAAGGCCCCCTTGTGTGTATGACTATATGGGGCCCCATCTAATGAACGGAAAAAATCATAAGTATAAAATATATGAACTGTACATTTATATACCTAATGTATTATATTTGTTTAATAATAATCAAACATAAAAAAACAGTGTAGTTTAGACGGACAAAATATGTTTGTGACGTCTCAACAGTCAACGTTTCTGTTATCGTCTCATCGATGCCAATTAAAAATAATAATATATATGATTGATCAATATTAGAATTTTAGAGGTATTTAGTTTTAGAACTGAAAACCTATTCTTATTGCTTTGAGGAATACTTCAATCAGTAGGTACACAATGATATGTATATTTCCTTGATTTATAAAAATATAAAAATTCTATTAAAAATGATATTGTTATTTCAATATTAATTGTTTAATTGTGTCTTAACAATTAACACAATGTGTTTGATTCTATAGGTACATACAAGCCTTCTACATTTTCCTCCTTGTCTTAAATTAATAAATAACATTTTTAACAATTATCAAAATAGCTGGTAGTTACCAAAAATTTTGATAATTTATTATAATCGATCTCTAAAATATACTATAAAATAAATTGTAAATAAATTTAACTAAAGAAAACAGTAAATAAAGATAAATATGGTGTTTTGAGTAACAATTGTAAATTATAAAGTTTATTTATGATAATTTTTTGTGAAAAAAATTTATCAAATTTACAAGAGAGTTATTATTTATCACTATTGTTGACTGTTGAGGCCCTCTCTATAAGTAAACTGCCGGTGGGGCCCTTAGTACCCAGTCCGACTCTGGGCCAGAAAGGGAATACTTTAACTGAACCTAATTATTCGTTAATAACTGTTAAATAGTTGTTAACATTATTTTCTTCAATTTTAATAAAAGATTTTATACCCCAAATATTATGTTTTTTTATTTACAATTCATCCAACTTAAATATTAAGTATCGCTACTGTATTAAAATGCTATACAGCTATATAAATCTCAGTAAAATAAGTGTATATAAGTGACGGGGCCCGGAAATAATCAGCCCTGGGTCCCACCAAAGCTCTCGCCGTCCCTGCTTGTAGGTATGAACAATCAAAAATTTAATAATCAAGAAAAAAAATTAATAAAAATCGAAATCATCAGCTCTTGGCTATAAATGTAGCATAACCTTCTGGTAAAGTATTTTTTGGTAAAGGTAGAAACACTCGTTTAGAACTTTCTATTTAAATTTCTAATATTAGCTTTTCTGAAATTCTAGCAGAATAATAATTTGCAATTTTTCGGCATTTTGATGAATTTTGTCAAAATTTGAATAATGGTGCTTATTTATCTCTGATATTTTTGTACTCCAATGACGAGGATGTTTGCGCACTATTTGTTTTCACTATCTGACCTACGCGCAACACAGAAAATTGCACGATCACAATAATGATTTTTAAAATTACAGTGAAATGATCTCTCATAAAATTTAAAGGTAAGATCATTATTTAGGACGTCTCATGGGTGTTTTATTATATTTTAATTGTAAAGCGAGTTATGACTATTCTAAGATGTACGAACAATTTATAATTTTAAAATACTCATAACTCGCTTTAAAATAATATAATAAAAATCCGCTATTTTCCTACCTATTGTAATGATAGCCACTCTTCATAATTGTAAAAAGAGTGTCATCATCATAACTAGAGACTGGATTTATATGAGCTTAAAATCTTAAAAATAAGATGCTTCTATGCTCTATAATTTCATCAAAATAATCTTTTATGTGCAAAAATATTCTTTTTCATATAAATGTAATAAACACTGAAAAAACAAATAAAAGTAATAGTTTATAAAAATAAATAAATTTAATCTATAATATGGTGATATACTACCATACTGGTGTACCACAAACAAATATTCTATTTTATGCGCTAAAAATTGTGTATATCAGTTCATAGGTAAATGAATCGTTGAGAAATAAAATCGATAAGTAGTAATTTGATAGTTGATACAATACTACAATAGTACCCGATTTAAATTATAAAAATGTGAAACAATGTTAGATAATTAAGTTATTAATTATATAGTTTTGAACATTGCAAGTATTTATCATGTAACAATTTAATTAACATTTTATTATGAAGGATTTAAGTAATTGAATATTAGTTAAGCTTAATATTTAAGGGGATTTTTTTAAAAAACAAAACATGGCATAAAAATGGTTAAATTAATTATATTATTGACAAAAATAGATAATTTTAATCTTTAGAACTATATGAAATCAGGGCTCTTTATAAAAATGTTACCACTTAGGCCACCTCTATCCTCCACCTCAGATTAGATGTATTATATTTTATTAAAAATGTAATTCATACTTACACAGGTAGTGTCATAATGTTTCTAGATTATATACCTTTATATTACACAATTGATTTGCAATAATATTTATTAATAATAATACATTTCTATGCAAGAGTTTCTTAATCTTTATTGCACTAAACAACCCGTTTTAAATTACAGAAATTTATACTTATATACCTTTTTAAACTTTTTATACTTAAAAATTAAGTAGTATAATTTTTTTTCATTGAAGTTTTACATTAAAAAATGTAGTAACAAACGGTTTAATAACTATTAAGTCTACATTATTTCTTTCTAAAAATGCCTCTTCCCTTGGATGTTGGCTTTGAGTTGTCATTTAATTGGTTTTGGTTATCACTGTTAACTTGACTTATGACACCTCTGCCATGACCTGCAATCTTCCACCAGCTGTTCATTCCTGTCATTGCTGTTACAGGAGCATTTTTCAATTCACCAGGTTGAGGAAAGTTGTCTTCTTTATTTGTTATAGTTTTACCATTTGCATTTTCTTTACATACTGGTCTATTCCATATCGGTTTCGGAATATTAGCTGATGTACCTTCAAGTGATGGCCAACTATCGGCCCCTAAAGTTTCCGGTTCATTTATTTCCTTATTATCGAAATTATCCACAGCAAATTTAGAAATATTAATTTTTTCAAAACGTTCTTCAACTGTACAGTCTGTTTTAGGTAAATCAAAATCATAATGCCGACCAGATACAAGCTCTATGTCAACATAGCGACAACAATGAGCTGATAAAATGTTTATCCACTTGCACACAAAATAGTTACTACAAACATGAGCAAGTTCCAGTTTTTCATGAAAACTACAACCAATTGTTTTTATTGTATTTACCACATCTTTTGATAAGCTATCAGTAGCCATAGCAACAGAAGGTAAAGCTAAATCATGTGTACCTGGATTTTTAACTTTATAACATGCATTTTTCAGTTTCATAAACAGTTTATCTAAATGGTATACCCTAATAATGTTATTGAAATCACTTCTTTCAGCATCTCTTACTGCACTTTCAAACAACTTAAATAAACTTGAACTAGTAATCATTAGTTCATTTTCAATAGGTGTATGGGCTGTATATATTGGTGGCATGTCTAATGTTAAGTCACTTAGAATAGCTGCATTCACTTCTTTGTTCATGATAAAACCTAAATAATAACCATACATGTCAATATTAGTTTGGAAAAATAAATTCTATTATTTTTATTATTTATACTTACCAATAATTTTTAATAATACTTCTGTATAATTATTTGGAAACATAGAGAATACGTCAATTTTATGATTGTTAGCAGCATGATTGTTAATATCTGCAGTAGGAGCATGCGGAGCATTTGTTCTGACTTTATCAAATCCAATTAACTGATGAAACATGCGTATCAAGCCGTTTTCTAAAGAAAACTCTGCCATGGATATCTCGGCAGGAAAATAAAATCCTTCTTTCTCGCATGTATAAGGGTTTATATGAATCAAAATAAATTTTTGCTTGGGAAGATAATGGCTGGCTGGTTGCATGTCAAGCAATACATCTATATATGCGTACATAGCATTTGCTTGTGATTTATTATCTTCTGATAGTTTTACAACATCTTCTACTTTTTCACCAAGCGAAGTATATTTTCCTACTTTTGCATTATTTTTCATCTGTTTACCTTTTGCCTTATAATTTTCTTTCATCTCATCGGACATTTTTTCCCAATCTTTTTTGCAATGCACTGCCATATCAGCCATGCTTACTTTAACCCCTTGACTCAATAATTTATCTCGAGTCTCCATCATGAATAATGCATATCCATTGTAAACTTTCTTTTTAGGAGCCATTTCTAAGACAAAAATATGAATAAATTAGTAAATAATCAATCAATTGTATATTAAAAATTGTAGTCTTAATTGTATCTATATCTAATTAAAAATACATAGTATACTATATTATTACATATGCAAAATTATGAAGATATTAATCATAATAAATAATAGATATATTACTTTTCATATTTTTTAAGAGGATGCTACACGGACATTTATTGTCTCCGCCTTACAAGTGTGTAACATAGCAAATTTTACGTTCAGCAGAACACGTTTAGGTCCGTTAGCTTAAGAATTAGAGTAAATTGACTTCTTAAAAAAATTAAAGGTAAGATTATTATTCAGGGCATCTTATAGGCTTTTTATTATATTTTAATTTTATAGCGAGTTATGAGTATTTTAAAATTGTAAATTGCTTGTACATCTAATTAGATGTCCTAGATAATAATCTTACCTATAAATTTTATTAGAGTTGACCTAACTCTAATTTTTAAACTAACGAAGAAAACCGTGATTTGCCAAGTGTAAAATTTGCTATGTTAAGCAATTATAAGACAGAGACAACAAATGTCCTTGTAACGTCGTCTTAAGTATAATATCTTATTCTGTATAACATTTTAGATTCTGAGAGGAGCAATGAATGTATTACATTAATTTGGTTTTTGTTTGTTTTATTTTTATTTGTGTCAGTCATCACCTTTTAGAACAGTAAAAAATAAAAATGCTTAGATTTTCTTCAACAGCATCTTTTTTAATAGGTAAGTAATTCAAGTTGGTACTTTAGAGGGTCAAAAGTAAAAAATTCCCAATAGTTTTCAAAAGCGCCGGGAAAAACAAATGTTACAATGGCAGATGAAAAATATTAAAAATACAGTGAACTTTTTTTTTTAGAATCATTGTAAGTTCAATCATGAATATGTGAAAATTATTTTGAGTTAAAAATGTAAACATTTTTTCTTTTTAAATCTGAGATTTGAAAATGTTATACAAGATTCCTAATAAGTTTGTCTATCTTTATCAAAAAAAAAAAATGTCTACCGAAAAGTCAAATTAAATTTTTATGAGTGCTTGACGTTTTATTTTTACGTTGCATATTCACTCGATTTCTCATGTAGCGATTTTCTTATTTTGTTGTAATTCAAAAACGAATAACCGTAGGCACTTGCAATTTATATCAAATGTTTATTTTATCATTTACTAGGTATACTTAATTTTATACTATACTAAATTTTTTTGTTTTGTTTTCTATAATATATCATTGAATTCAAATTTAATACCATGCATTACAGTGATCCACTTGTAACTTACTATGCAACAATATGATATCCACTTATCAGAATTTTTTGTTTTGTTGAACTACAAAAATTCTAAATCAATTTTTTTTCTAAAAGGCGGTACTTTTAAAAATGAACACTAATTTTCTCAAAAATTATTAACATTTATGGAAATAATTGCTTACATAATACTGAGTCATTCCTAAACCTTGTAAAACTTTTTCTTATAAATATTTAATAATTTCTATTTTTGTTGTTATAATTTTTTAATTTGCCTCATTATTTTAATCACGGTATATATTTTAGATGCTGAGTAGAGTAATATTGATCTTAAATTTTTTTATTTTACTGTATAAGTATACACGATTAATAGTAGAAAAAATGTTTGATCTTCAATTTTGAAGATAATATCTGATAACAAATTGAAAATTTCCAGTACTTTTCATAATAATTGGGAAAATCAAAAATTTTATTTTTTATTTTGTTGAAAGTAATTTAAAAACAAATATTCATATATATTTGAAATGTTGATTTAAGCGTTTTCTAAATATGGTATGATTTTTTTAAAATTGACTTTTTTTGAACTTGATATACATACCTAATGTAGACATTTGAATCTTTTTTGCTTTTTTCTATAAATGTTAACAAATTATTTTTTGTTTGGCCTAAAAGATTGGAAATCTAATACAAGCTACTTCATAAGTTATTCTTATATAAATTAAAAAATAAGGAAAATACAGTCATAATTTTTAAAATCTTAAATTTAGACTAATTATTTTGTTAACAATTTATAAAATGTTAAATTTGTATAGCTTAAGTTTAACATTTTAATACAAGGTTCTTTCTATTAAGTAGTGCATACTGAAAGTGAAACCAAAAAACCAAAAATTTAAGAAACACAATTTTTTTTTTTTATAGATATGAAGTCCAAATTTAGATTAAGTAGATATTTAAACAAAAAATAATGTTTTTAGTTATTTTGTTATAATTTAAAATACTATTTGCAGGGACTTAAAAACACAGGATATAAAATACTAGATAGCTAACTTGTCTACATCAGGATATGGGATGTTAAAGTCAGCTACCATATGCGTGTGGGTCAATGTTTATATGAATGTCTTATCAATACGGCGTGATAACATGATAGTATTCGGCGACCGACGTTCGCATTTCGCATTTTGCACAGAATAAAATGAAAAATTTAAATTTAAATTGAAAAATTATACGAAGTTCAAACAAATGTTACATTAAAGTTAGCCAATAAAATAAACGAAAATCATATTATGTGGCATCAGAATAAAATGAAGTTTAAGTTAGCAGCACAAATGTTAAGTAGTTCTACAGCAGACGTATTACTTTTTTTAAAAGATATTTGTATGCAAGGGTTTCAAAATGTAGATGCAACAGTTAAATTTTGTTGAACTGTAGATCATATTTTGATTTTTTAAACTCCAGAAATCCTTTTGGTAAAGGAGTTAAATCCCCCATTACCACTTCAAACATTTCAAAATTAGAGTCTGTTATTATACCATTAGTCAACTATCTATTTACGTTAAAAGTAAAAAATAAAAATAACACTAAAGTTTTGTATACCAAACTGCTAAAAAATCATTTGTAATTGGTTTTGCAGTAGCCATTAAGTCATTATTTTCAATAGCTACGTTAATATTTAATCAAAATCCACTTTAGAAATATATATTAACTTATAAGTGCTCACAGGATCATATTGAAATTTTATTTGCTCGATTCAGACAAAGATTTGGAGCGAATAATAATCCTAACGTATTACAATTTAAAGTTGACCTCAAACAAATACTATTAAAAAATGCAATAAAATGTAAAACAAATGGTAACTGTAACAGTATCGATGATGATGCTTTTGGGGCACTGCTTGAGTTTAAATGGAATAAAAAAAAAGATAATACCAGTGAATTAAATTTTGAAACTATCGATGAAATTGATCAGGAAACATTGAATAGAAATATCCTACTTAATTGTACTAATTCATCAATGAATGATATATGTAGTTCGTAAAAATTCAAAACATATTGATTGTGTTAGTTGCATCTAATCACTACTTTTAAGTCAAACTTCTATTGACCATAATTATCCTATACCTCAGTTGTATACTAAATTAACTTCTTTCAAAAATCTTGGTGGCTTATTTTTATCTTCAGAGAGTTCATTTAAAGTTATTATAGAGGCAGAGAAATACTATTTGTATTTAACTAATAACTTAACAAAGATCAATGTACCCAATTTACAAAAAAAAATTATTTTTGATGTTATTAATAAATTTGCATTGGATTTTAATATTTTTAATAGCTTAAATTGTGAAAATGTAGGTTTATTAGACAGACCTCATAAAATATTTTTAATCCCCCATCTTGTAAAGAGATTTTTAAGCGTTAGATTGCAATCATACGGTAAGCAATTTTCTAGTGACGTTTTAAACACGGTCAGTCAAAGACAGAAATTAACAAAATTATTAACCTAATTATTTTATAATCAGTAATGTATATTGTAGTATATATTATATATTATTATATACTATTATTATTATATTTTTTATATTATAATTGCTAATTATAAATCATGTGTATACCACCATTAACGTTGACTTAACATTACATATATCAGTATAATAATAATATGTATTGTATATTTGTATACTTGTTCAATGCTATTTTATGCAATATTTTTACTTTGTTTTTCTCTTTTGTTTTACTTTGGTTTGTAATTCTGTTGATATTTAATAAAATATACAAAAATATGCATTTCTTTTAAAAAATGTTTTTAAATATTGACATAGGCAATAGCCATTAGCCAGAATATTATATAAAAGTGTTTTATACGGTTTTATATTATATTTTGTGGTGATAATATAATGCTAAATTATAATTTATAAATCAAATACCATAAGATTCTTCTCATGTTGTGTTGATAAGACAATTATGTAAACATTGAACTACACGCATATGACGGCTAACTTCTATATTTGATGGCTTGTTAGCTATCTAGTATTTTATATCTGTGCTTAAAAATTAATATATTTTATCACACACAATGACATTTTCAAAATATTTAGAAACTTTTAAGATTATTTATACTGCATTATTAATACAGCAGATGTTTATTATATTGATCGTCAATTGTTCAGTCATCTAGAATTAAATTGAAATACCTTTATACTAAAATATCATTAAATAAAATTTAAAAAAAAAATTTATATTAGGTAGGTACCTATTATTACTTACAAATTACAATGTATTTACATGTTTTAAGTATTCAACAGTAGTTACAAATATTTCTCACTCTAATTTTATTTGTTAGAAAAATACAGTTTTAATTAAAAAAAATAATACATAAAATGTGATGTTCAAAAAAACATATTTTGCTGTTAAAAAAAAAAAACTCTGATTTCAAACTAAGATTACTTGTCATTTACTATGTCAACTGTAAGACAGTTGAATGAGATATTATGTAAGATCTATAAATCGTTTACTAATAAACAAGAATAGCATATACCTAACATTAGTATTATAAGATTTGGGAAATTGGAAAAAATGACAAAAAAAATTATTAGACAATCTATAGAGTACTATTTTAGTTTTTCTCTCTCTACATACACAAAACCCATGTAGGCAAAATAAATTTTGTCCATGGTCTCCGATTAATCGGAGTGAAATCACCTATCATAAACATTACCAAAGCAATCGGCAGCGTACTGATTGTACGTTA